CCCGGGCTCCCCGAGGCCTCCGTGCCCCGCGTGGCGGCGCCTGCGGCTCGCGGCGCCGCCAGCCCCGGCCCGCAGCGCACCGAGACCCGCCTCGTGTCCAGTGGAACTTGCGCTTCAGCTCGGGCTCCAGCAGCCGCCTCCGGGTTGGGGGCTTCTTGTTTCCCATGGCGTTTGTGGCACTTGTGAGTGCGTGAGGGGCGCCGATCGATCCGCACTCCGTCCGACCGGGCAGGACCGTGAGGAAGAGCCTGGCTTTCCTTCAGGCCTCAGGAATGGGCTTTATCATMCATTCCGTTATCTCTGTAAGGGCTTATCTCTAAAAAAGGTGTGATCCGGGAGTTTTCCATTTGTACTTCTGGGTAAGTTGTGTAGCAGGCTGTAAATTGTGCCTGATAGTTACAAAACGCAAGTTTAAGTGGTAAGTGAAGATGAGAAGGGACTATGATGTGCTCAGCCTGGCACTGCAGTGTCACTTGCGGGCTCCAGAACTCCAGGAAAACTGCTCGGCATGATCCCCTTTCTATCAGTTTTGATGTGAGTGCTTTTACTGAGACTATAYTTAAAGGAAGCAGTAGTAGTAGAAGAGTAAGGAAGACAGGGGCACATTGCCTGTTTCAAGTTATCTAAAAGCTTTTTGGTTGTTTTTCTTCACAGAAATGCTTTASAGATACTTTTTTACACTTAGGCTAATATAAGGTTAATTTCATTGAAGACACGAGACAGTCTCTGTTCCACTTATTCTCTGTTTTTCKAATRTTTCTTTTTAAGTCAAAGCAATCACTAGTGATTCATTATGTGTGCGCCCTTAATAACGAGATCTGTCATACATGAATTAAGGACATTAGTCAGGCTTCTAGCCCATGGATTACTGTAACTTTCTTGAATGAGACCTAGAGGATGAATTCTAGATTCTGCCTTGGATTGCATTTATTAGGAGTTTTCCCTCAATGTGTTAATGCACTGCACTTGTGATGCGAGCCCTCAGAGTGCTGCCCACATGACTGTGYGCTTGGAAATTGCAGCTCTGCACAGATTCTTGGACTCAGAGAGACTTCCTGGTTGGAATGATCCTTCCTCTGCTCCAGCATCCTTTAATCTGCCAAAGGGAGAGGCCCGTTGGATTCAGTTTCCTATTTCAAAAAGGTCAAATTTGTGTTGCATTTTTCACCTGACTCCTTCTGCATAATCCCCTCTGATCTCTGCACTCTTGGGTTGAAAAGCAGAGGCATCAGGCGCTGCTGTTACTCACAGTAACAAATTACTCTTGCCCAGCAGTACTTTACAGCAGTGTGTAGGAGAGAAGAAGCTGGGAAATAAAATCGTTATATGTTTTTATAACTTTGTTCTCTTTTTAATTATAAAACACCTTTAGTGTGCTGGAGCAAGGTTAATGAGACCATTATCATTGTTTCCGCATAATTTATCAGTGATAACTCTGTAAATTAAAATAGCATGACCTTGAGACCATGTGACTGAAGCTGCTTCTCCAGTGCTGCCTAGAAATGAAGTCACAAGGAGAAATGTGGAGGTAGAAGATTACTATTTATAATGTGATGCTTGGGAGACTTAGCGTATTTCTCTTGTTTGAAAGTTTTAATAACTCAGCAGTGAAAATCCACTGTTAGATAAAATCAGGGAATGGCTAATTAAGTTTACAAGAAATGGCTTATCTGTTCCGAATTGCAGAAAAGAAAGGTACTTTCATGATTTTTGATCATTTWGTGTTTAATTGAAGGTTTGGGATTAATCAATCTCCCCAGACATTTTGAAATAACAAAATAGCTTCATCTTATGAGCTTTTTATTTTTTTTTTAAAATAAGTCCAATGGAATGTTGCTGTTTCATGTGAGCTGAATATTTTGAGATAAAAATGTTAACTTAGAAAAACAAGAATATAAAGTGGGAGTTGCTGTATATCAACAGGAGGAGTAAACATCATGAGAAACTAATTAGCAGTTCCAGAAAATGATTCTACTTTGAACTCTCATAAGTATGRCACCTAATAAATAAGGATTTTAATAAATGAAATGATTGCCTGGCTTTGCATGGGGAGAAAAAAAAGAACTATTATTATTTTTTAGTTCTAATAGTAAGAATTCACAGAAAGAATTCCTTGGAGCCTCTTTTCTTGGATTTCTTTTTATTTATTTATTTATTTATTTATTTATTTTTTCTCTTTTTCCTTCCGGACTATTATTGTGGCAGATTCACTGAGATTCTCTTAAAACACAGTGGGTGAAATTTTGGCCCAGGTGAAATCGGTCACAAAAGTGTCCTGGCTATCAAAGAAGATTTAGGTTTTCACCTAAAATATTCTATGATTTTGGAAAATGAACCCTTTTAATGGGAGAATTTTGTACAGCAGTCAAATTAGGTGCTSTTGTAAGTCTTAGGCATTTTGAACACTGGGGGAAGGAAAGCATCTTAGTTTCTGAAATAAATACTTAGTTTCACATGTAACTTTTTATATGTGAAATATTTTAGATTAAGGGCTATATTCTTCCCAAACACCCAGAGACGTAGTTGTAAGAGTAGCAGTGTGTTGAGGAAAGGCATCCTAATTTGGATAAGTAATCAAGCCGAGAAGAAACGTGTGAAGAAGATATAGTCCCCAGTTCCACCCTCTCCTCCCCACTCCTGGTTCCAATCCATAATATCCTTTTTGCTCCAGTAATTCCCGTCAGGAGGCTGCCCAGGCCCAGGATGCCCAGACCCCAGCGCGGCCCTGATTTTAGTTCCAGGAGCTGCAGGAGCAGCCCCTTCAGTTGTGCTGCATAGACCCGGATCTTTGCTCTTTGCAGAGAGTTGTAATCTTGCTCAGATACAATCAGCAGAACCTGGATGAGTGGTCTGCGAGTGGGGGTTTTAGTACTCAGGAACGACAAATCCGATTTTGTTCCCTAARTGCTGTCTGACACATCTCTTCCTCAAGCAAAACTTCTTAAAATATTAAATAACCGGTTATTTGTCTACCTTGACATTTTATTTTCAAAAGTAATTGACTAGTTACATCACAGATATGAAACTAGATATCAAAGCCAGTAACAGTGATATGTAGATTGATGCATCCTAATATCTTTGATTTGATTCTAAACTAATAAATTTCCATCGAAACATCAGTCCGTAATGCTTTAAGCTCCTTATGCAAGAATGCATTTAGTGCATATAATGTAAACAAAGACTTAAAAAACTTTCCCTTCCAACCACCTGCTAATCAGTTGGCATATACGAGAATGGTGTATACGAGGCATATACTGATCTCGGATGATTTAGGCATATTGCCAAGTACCCTCCCTGTCAGGAGAGGATCAGGCTCTCGTGAGGGACCGCAGGGCAGGACCAGGCTGCAGCTCCAYGTGCCCTATGTGCTGTTTTGGGCTTCTCAGAGAGGATGAAGGGATGGGACACTCCTGTCCCATGGTTTGGGGCTCTGGGACTTAGGACCCCATATAGCGCTTTAYTTATTTATTTATTTATTCAGGGATTCCAGGAATTCTAGACTTTTTTCCCCAACTTCCAACAGTGAAGTCCTGCAGTGTTTCRGTTTTCCAAAATTTTGCCCTGCACAGAAAAATATCCTGTAATCTAGTTAAAGTACTAGTATTTTAGTATTTAGGTGCTTCAATATTTTTTATATTTGTTAAAATACTATATGTGTATACAGTATGTCTCTTTCTTTGTGTATGTTTTCCTGAGTATCCGTATATACTAGCTACTAAGGTGTGAAAACTGGAACAAAAGTCTTCTGTGACGTTAAAAAAAAATAATAGGAAGCTGCATTTATAATGCAGCTGCATATATAAATGCATATATAAAAATATAATAGGAATTATTTTCCTAGATAAAAAATATTGCAATATATTACAAAAAGCAAACACAGAGACCTATGAATAAACCTGTCTTTGTACTTCTGGTATCAATTGCAAAGATTTTATTTGAAAAAATACTGTACTTCAATTTTTTTTTCCTATTTTATATGTCTTAAGATTTAACTAGCTCTAGAAATAAAATTCGAAGTTCTCTTTTCTCTGTTACTTTATGCCATTTTTGTGTTTGTCCGTCTTAATTTAAAGTCCACTAAAGATGACTTCTGACTCATGTGGCAAGTGATTTATTCTGCAACTCTTCCAGAGAGATGATGATGTTTCATGTCAGGGGCGCTGTGTGTACCCTGGCAATAGAATTACATCCATCAGTCTTTCTGCTGCATTGAAAATTGCAACTGCGCCATTAAAATATGGGGCCATGACTTTGTTAGAGCATCATTTCCTTGAAGAAATGAAATAATTGAGAGAGCTCTGCTGGATTTCCTTGAGTCRCTCATGGTGAGGTTTGTCTCACACTAACACTTGTCCCCGTGTTGATATTATTGACATCAAACAAAACTCTGTTGGCTAAAGTGGATAAAACTGAGTCTGACTTACTGTATGTAACCTGTAACCTCACCCGCATTAATTCTGCATC